ACTGAAATAGTACTGACTTGTAATAATAATTTTAATATTATAATAATTTGAGATCATAATTCTGAATTCTGGACTAATTGATTTTTTTAAATTGTAACTTCATTTATTTTGTATTAATTAATTCTTTAAACTGTAAGTATGTTGCTGTGGTAGAGGTGTGCACACATGTCATGTTTCCATGATAACCATTGATTTAATCAATAGAATGTAACCAGCAAATTATATAACAAGCATATTATTGAAAAATATTGTTCTTCATTGTTCTTTAATGTTGTTGATGTGATAATAGTAGTGACATGTTTAAAGTTCTTTGAAACACTTTTAACACTTTTTAGATGGGAAACTAAAAAAAATAATAATAATTTTAGCCACTCTTAAACATTAGCAAAAAACCTCTTTAATTACAATCAAACGTTGAAAGGTGTAAATTTTTTGTACATTAGGAATCAGCCATATGTATTTTTCATTTCTATTGTGTGAGTTATTTGTGCATCTGGTTTTGAACTCATCTCTGTATCATGGCATTCACAGGCCCTCCAGTGCCAGATCTCTGCCAAAACCTGCTCACCTGGACAAGGTCAACTCCAACAGCCTGGACTTTGGGATAATCAGCGTGGAGGACCAGCTTCCTCCAAAAGTGCTGCCCTTCTCCAAATTACAAGATCTGTCAGGAATTAGCAGCACAAGCTGTCTGACACCTAGTCCGGCTCCCATCCTCAACGTCAACTCCTCTGAGTGTTTCTCCAGCGCCACCGTGGGCCGAGGGGGCAGCGCTGGCGGCTCTCCTTCGCTCTACCCCCGCCTCTCTGGGCTGCACCGTAGCATGGAGTCCTTGTCACTACAGATGAGCGTGTCTCCTGCAGGGGGCAGCATGATGGAGCCCAGGCCCAGACATGAGGACAGAGGGACGGATGGTGGCTGGTCGAAAGGAAGCAGAGCCTCACTCACGCTCACGACAGACAGGTGAGGCCGTCTCTCCAGTCATCACTGCACTTCCTGTCTGTGCTCACCTGATAATATGAGCTATGCTAGTCTACTTCTAAACACTGTAAAAATTTGCTTGTATACACATTTGAGATTTGAAGGAAGATGGACTAAACATTTTAATGTCTCATGTTCTACTCAGTGTTGTAATCAAATTTTTGGTCAGATCTCCCCCATCATGCTTGATAATTAACATTATAATATATTTTTATGTTTTTTATATTATATTATATTATATGACATTATATTATGTCACTTTGTTTTAGAAGGGAAAATAAAAATCTAGGAACTGGGAATTAATTACATTTCCTTATTAAAAGTTAGGAAAATGTCTTTATTTAATTATGATAAAAAGTTTCATAAAAAGTATTATAATCTGTCCTTTAAAACTAAAATAATTGTAAACATTTTTTATTAAGAATCATCCATATATATTTTTCTTTTTGTATTATGTAATATTTATAATAGCATTCATCTTGCTTGTTTATGATTTTTTTGTTTCCTTTATTTAGTCCACAGAACATTAGAAACAAACATGATGACTATTATAATTCATTATTTCATTATATTTACATTATTTTACAATTAATATAATAAATAGTTTGTAAAGAATACATATATCATATCATATATCATACCATATCAAATATCATATCATATATCATATCATATCATATCATATCTCATATCATATATCATGTCTCATCTCATATCATATATCATATCATATATAATCTCATATCATATATCATACCATATCATATATCATATCATATATCATACCATATCAAATATCATATCATATATCATATCATATCGTATCATGTCTCATCTCATATCATATATCATATCATATATAATCTCATATCATATATCATACCATATCAAATATCATATCATATATCATATCATATCAAATATCATATCATATATCATATGTCATAGCATGTCATATATCATATCATATATCATATATCATACCATATATCATATCATGAACCAAAAATTAGAAACAAACCAAATTATGTCTTTCATGAATTCATCTACATCACAAGAATACAAAATAAAAAAATAAAAATCTGTAACCGTGGTCATTTCCTGTCTCTGGCCTAAAACAGCAGCCATCCCACATAAATGACCAAAACTAATATATTCTGTGTCATGTTCAAAGCAGCAGCTCATCACTGGGTGTGCCAGTGGAAACATCTAAAAGCAGCTCACTCTTCCTGTTATTCGAGGTTATTTTCACCACAAGGTTCATGCTGCTCTTTGCCACACATGGACTCTCTGTTTTTATGTGGCTTCCTTTATAAAAACCACCACCAAATTTTGTTAACGCTTGCTTAGTCAGTTTAAAACCGGACAATAGCTCACAGGCTTAATCTTGCTCATTATTTCTGTGCAGGCCACCGCAGAGCTGAAGGCTAATGAGGGTCATGAGCCAGAAAATCTCTCATTTGTTTAATTGACATTGACTTCATTAATGTTTCAATTCAGCAGCTCATCTCCCTCCATCAGAGCGCTGATCTATAGCTCTCTTTATTCGTTTCTTATTGATGAAGACTCTGCTATATCCGTTGCACAGAATTGCATCTGTGTGTCCAGAGGAGTCGTTCTTCACAGTGCTGTTTCTCTGCCTGTAAACCGCTCTCGTTCTTTCAGAGGTCTGTTTACATTCAGATGCTTTCTGCTGTTTCTCTAGCATCATTTATCGTTTCACAGCACTGCAGCATTATGATTGGAGGGGTTAGTCATCATTTGGACGTTGGAAACAGCAGTTGAGCTTCTGTTGAACACAAACGAAGATATTTTGAAGAATGTTGGTAACCAAACAGCAGCCATTGACTTAAATAGTAGGGGGAAAATACTATTGAAGTCAGTGGCTACCACCAACTGTTTGGTTACCAACATTCTTGTCTTGTGGTTGCTAGGTCACTATTAGCAGGTGTTACTCACATCTCTGTAAAGGTCTTGTATGTAATTGTTTGACTGTATTAAAGCATAAAATACCATATGTTTGCAGATATTTAGCAAAAATGCCAAGTTCACTTATGTGTTTGTCCAAAAAACAATGCTACGGCCAGTTATTCTGCTTTGAAATGTGTGTTCCGTGTCGGAATGTCTGTTTTTGTTTTGGTCTGTGTGACTCCGCCCACTGCCTGTTTACCCAATAGTATTCCGACACCCCGGGTTGCCAGTTGTTGGAAAACGCAGCGTATTGCAGCCATGGAAACCAGCAAACAAACTTGGTCAGACATCGCAGATTCTGCCCGACCTAAAAAGACTCGGCACCCATCTAAAAAGCTCTATGACCAGAGGCATATTAAAACGGTCTTGTAGTATTTTAGTATTAAGGCTTGTCATCTTCCATTGTCATTTGCGCCCGTTCCTGTTGCGTCTCCTCAATCTGGCAACCCGCACGAGCGTCGAGTCTGAGGAGGAACAACTCTCTCCAGTGTTTTGAATTTTCAACCGCTAGCTGTCAATATTATAGACTGCACTTTTAAATGTAAATCTATGCTGTTTTTTCCATCTGTTTTGTTGTCTATCAAGCAAGAGTCATATGTCAGATCATGTATAAAAGTAACACAACACCTCCACTCAGTGGTTATCAGTCAAAGTCATTCTTACCTTACACACTAAAGTTTAATATTTAGCATTAAGGGCTTCTCGATCCTCTTCCAGAGGGCCACATCACAGCACATTTGCACTCGGTCCACATCCACCCAAAAATCAAAGCAGAACAATTGCCTATTATGTTAACACTGTGATTATATCTCTCTGACTGAACTACTAATTGCTAATTTTGCTTTACAAATTACTGTGGTCTATTTGTGGAGTCTGATCTCTTAATTTCCATGCACAAGCATTAGAATAATGCTCTATTTCTCATTGATTTTTTTTCTTTCAGCTCACAAAGGGACAGAAATACTCTCCCAAAGAAAGGCTTAAGGTACTTATCATTTAACTTGGTGCTCCACTTGATGGGGCAAACGGTTTGATGTAGTAAATCCATGAAGTAACGTCACACCCTCATGTCCCATCAGCCAGCACATCTCCTCGCAGGCTGAGGAGGACAGTAAAGAGAGACGTCACTCGCAAACTATAGTGAGCCTGACTGAGACCAACAGTCCGCCGCAGTTCCCTTCACCCATACTGACAGGAAAAACACCACTGACGAGCATCAGTAAGTGACTGAACACTTCAGAGGCTTTCTGGAACATTCTTAAGATGGAGAATTTATTGTTAATATCTTGGAGTTTGATCATTTTAAAAATATGGTTTCTTTTAAAAATGTATTGCAGTTATTTACACTCTTTCGTACCAAAAAATATTCTAAGAATATATATATAAATACCTTGCTACGTGTACTGCGTTAGGCTAACCAAGACTTGTCATTTGCACTTATATATTGTTGCTCTTTTGTTAGTTTTGATTGCTTCTATTGTCCTCATTTGTAAGTCGCTTTGGATAAAAGCGTCTGCTAAATTACTAAATGTAAATGTAATATATATATATATATATATATATATAATTTAA